AAGCAGGAATTAATCAGTATTTACATGGCCATTGATTCGTTTTACACTCACGGAGATGGAAACTGGGGGCTGTATTCAGACACTTGGGGACTCACTTGTAGGAATATGCCATGGTGGGCAGAGGGGTCTTTGGGATGGTATGGGGAAGTATGTATTATTTGGGAGATGCTCTGGCCCAAATGGTTCCTGTGACCATGATGACAGGAGTTGCACAGTCAAGTAGAGAGGCCACATTAACATCTGTAATTGGTGTGCATGGGATTGCTGCTGGTGTGCCTTGCTCTGAAGGATATTTGGCTAATTCTTGCTGTAAGACTTTGTTTCTATTAATCATACTGTATTTTAAAGCCTTTTTGATTTTAGGCAGTGAGTGAAAGTCTGAGTTATATCCTTCAGCTTGAGCTCTTGGTTCAGCAGCAGTGAATCCAGGTCATGAAATACCCTTTTGCTCCGGGTCTCTAACTCAAATAACTTCTGGAACTCAGATTTTAATCTGCTATTGCATGTAAACTTCACTTATATATAGAAAGTGCCTGGTACTGAGTTTAAAGGGGTCAGTGAAACACTGCTTTCTGTGAGTTATAGGGATAATGTACTTAGGATTGCTCTCTGCTTCTGTATTCTGGTGGCAGAAATACAAAATGGAAGTGGATGTCTGGCACTGGAATTGTGCAGGACAAATCATACCTGCAAATTTGTGCAATTTCCTGTCCAGCACTGGCGCTTCTGATATTTTCACTGCATGTACAATCACTCTTCAGCTGAGATTTTCTTCAGGTGTTTTTATTCTGTGCAAGACTGACACCAGAAGGTTCTAATACAGCTCTCAAGCTTGGGGGTTGTTTTAAGGGGACTTGGTTCCATTTCTACAGAAGGGTATTTCTGTTGTGAAGATCATGAGTTCTACACAGGGGCAGTTCTGAAAAAACTGATAAGAGAAGTGATAGGATTTATTTAAACTGATTTTGTGGCAGTTCACATCTTGCTGTTTAAAGTCCTCTCCCTTGAGCTTCCTTTTTTCTCCCCGAGTTGAGAAAGTGCTCACTTTGGCAATACATTTTCTTTACAGGAATTCAGCATCATTTAATTGGCTACACAGAAATTTGTGGGCAGCTACATATGCTGAAGTGTGTTTTTTCATTTACTTTATGCAACAGTAAGTTACAAAGCTCAGAGTAGTTGCAACAGTAAAGGATTTTTTTTTCCTTTTTTTTTTTTATTTGGTGGCATTCAGTGTTGAGGCAACAATGACTTCATTTGGTAATTAAACCTCATTTGTGAAAGACCTTTTCCCTATTAATTTGATCCATTAAAGAAATGCTCTTTGAAGCTGGTAGTTAATCTTCCTATTTAAATGGCTGGGTTTTACTCAGATTGGTTACAGCTTTGGTTTAAATAGCAGCTAAAAATAGCAAACTGTTGTGCTGTACAGTTTAAACATCTATCTATAGTAGTAGCCTTTCTAGAAAGGAAACACGTAGTAAAAGGGAGAGGAGACGCTGCTGCTCGGACAGCGCTGGTTGGGACCAGCATCGTCCTTTTCCTTGGATTTTGCCCTTCTCCCAGTCAGGCAGCTCTCCAGCTGGTGGCACTTGAGGATTTTACTCCAGGATTAATTTTTAACAGAAGCACTATGAGCTCGATTTAACCTGCGTTTCGGTCGGTAATTAATGATTCCACTGTTGTGAGAAGCTTTAACTCTTCCTGTTGAAGGCTGCTGTTAATTGTGCTAAAACCTTGCAAAAATCTAGAAACTACCCAAAATACTTTCAAGAACATTAGGCTGTCAGAAAGAAAATACAAGGGCTGAGAGCCCAGCTTGTGAGGTTACCATCTATTTTCATCTCTTGAGTTGTCCTTCTCTACGTGTCTTGTGTGATTCACACAAGCCTGACAAACCTGTGGCCTTGGAGTGCACTCATTGCCAAAGCAAGGAGGGGGGTTTAACTTAAAAGTGTCTGCAGTTGAAAAGGAAGCCATGACAAAACTGCAGGCATCTGGGTGAAGAGAAACCAGTTACTTCAGTAATTCTCCCTTGAGCTTCTGTTGTAGGATGAACTTTCTGCAGGTGATGGGATCTTGAATGAGTGGCTAACAAAGAAAAATCAGAGGTATAAAGGTGAATCTGTCTAAGGCAGCAGAATTGCTTGGGCTACTGTCATGATTTCAGCTGGGATAGAGTTAACTTTCTTCCTAGTAGCTGGTGCAGTGCTGTGTGTTGGATTTAGTATGAGAATAATGTTGATAACACACTGATGTTCTAGTTGTTGCTGAGCAGTGCTTACTCTGAGTCAAGCAAGGACTTTCCAGTTTCCCATGCTCTGCCAGTGAGGAGATGCACGAGGAGCCAGGAGGAGACACAGCCAGGACAGCTGACCTGAGCTGACCAAAGAGATATTCCAAGCCACAGAACGTCATGCCCAGTGTATAAACTGGGAGAGTTGGCCGGGAGGCGCCGGTCTCTGCTTTGGGATGGGCTGGACATCGGTCAGTGGGTGGTGAGCAATTGCACTGTGCACCACTTGTCTGTCTTGGGTTTTGTTTCTCTCTCTCTTTTTGTTGTCCCCCTTATCATTACAATTATTATTTTATTTAAATTATTAAACTGTTCTTATGTCAGTCCATGGGTTTTACCTTTTTCCAGTCCTCCTCCTCCTCCCACCAGGGCAGGACAGGTAGTGAGCAGACAGCTTTGTGGTACTTAGTTGTGGGCTGGGGTTCAACCACGACAGTTACCTTGAAATACCTTTGACAAAATTGAGTTTACAGTGAAATCTGTGGTCTGAGAAAGAGGAAAAAGAGAATTCAGGTGTTTTTTCACCTCCACCCTTAGTCTTCCATCATGAGAAAAGGTACTTGAGGCCTGGCTTCAGTAAGAAATGTTTAATCCGTGAGGTTAAATAGCTAAAATATTTTTTCAGTATTGTTAAAGGTCAGACTTTTCGTAATGGCTCTTTCTGGATATACCTGTATGTCAGGAGCCTCAACCTTCTCAGACCAAGATATCCATGACTAGAGCAGGAACATCTGTTGTCACAAGGAAATTGAATGTGAAGAAATCTGCAAGATGGGGAAATATAGTCAGATATTTTAAGCTACCCTTCTGAAGGACTTGAGCCTATATACACAAAACCAACAGAACTATTGTATGTCCAGAGTTTTTTACAACTGTAATTCCCATAAGTTAGTTTTCCAAAGATCTTTGTTATTATTATGTTGATTTAATAATGTTTCTTATTACACAAAAATAGTATTTCTGTAATCTCGTGGCCTGATTTTGCCACTAAAGGAGAAAACATCCTGTTCTTTGCTCTTATAAAACTTATGACTATGAAAATCAAGCCGCTAATGCTTCCTTCTGCTAGCAAGGGCAGGAGGCAGAAGGGGAGGACAGTGGGATTGGGAATGGGTGGGGTTGCCGTACAGTTTTATGAAGTTGGAAAAAATTAAGGTAATTGTAGAAGAGATTCTTATGGCTTACTCTGTCTTTATCGTGGATTATTAAGCTTCTTTCATGTTTCAAGAAAAATGATTCTTTCATGTTCCGTGCTTCCAACGTCTGTTTTAATAGTATTGTCGCTTGCATGTTTCTGCACAAACTAAGAAAGTTTTTGGCTGTTGTGGGTAGGACAGCAGGTAAAGGTCTGAAAACGTGTTCTTTTGGTTATGTATTTGACTACTTACATTGAAGAGGGGAGATTTATATTAGATATTAGGAAGAAAATCTTGAATGTGAGGGTGGTGAGGCCCTGGCACAGGGTGCCCAGAGGAGCTGTGGATGACCCATCCCTGGAAGTGTTCAAGGCCAGGTTGGGTAACACTTGGAGTGTCCTGGCCTAATGGAAGGTTCCTGCCCATGGCGGGGGATTGGAACAAGATGATTCTTAAGGTCACTTCCATCCCAGACCATTCTGTGATACTATGCCTGGTTCATTGTGTCCCAGCAATATTAGCCCATGAATCGCCTTGCTCTATAATTTGTGGTACCTCTCACAACATATGTGCTAGCTAAAAAGTGCTTTGGCACAGATCTGCAGACCTGACTATGCGAATTTGGCAGTGATAGTACATGGCTTTCAAGTCTAGTGAAATTTGAAAAAAGTAATTTGTAAACTGCAATTGTCTTTTGTATCAGGTGTGTGCAAAATGGAGATAGGGTGCCTTCAGAAGACATAAATGTATAAAAAGAAAAATGAACAAGAAAAACTTGGAGCTCCCATCTCAAAATGTTTAGTTCAAAACTCGTGATAGATGCATGAGGGAGATGTGAGCCAGTGTGGGTGCTGGGAAAAGGGGGAATTATCCGTGTTACCAATGGACAGTCTGAGTTGTTTCAGTGCTTGCTCTCAGTAAGCTCTTCTTTACCTCATGTGTTGTGGGGGAGGCAAGTCTACAGAGGCCATGGAAGGAGAATGAGGCATTTTCTGAGTTTTCCAGTATAGGGGAGAATATGGAAGGGGCTATACTGGAGAAAGAGTGAACCCTAGAATCATCATAGAATCATAGAGTAGTTTGGGTTGGGAAAGAGCTGGGAAAGGTACTTTCTGGATCACTTGAAAAGCAGGATATCTCATACTAAATCAGTATCCTTGTTCTTCTGACTTGTGAGGTGGGCTTTGTAAGGACGGTAAAAAAAGGATGAACTTGGAGAGTGTACATGAGCTGGAAATGACCTATTCTGTAGTATGCTGAATGGACTTGAGGGGTTAGGAAACAGGATTTGAAGGCTGGAGAGGCAGCAGTCAAGGTATGAGATAAGCAGGAAGAGTTCTGAGTATGTACATGTCTGTTTGAAGAACTGATCCTGCTGGAAGACTCTGTAGGTTTGAATTCAGTCCTGGCAGAGCCCAACCACGGCAGAACTTGATACAATTACCCTTTTAAACTGAGGTTTTAAATTATTCAACTTTGATAACTGCTTAATTGGACAGCTTAGTTTCAAATTTAACTTCCACAGAGAACTCTTGCTTCCTATGCTAACCCCAAATTTGTTTGTTTAGGATTAGCTCTGAACGCAGAAAAGAGAAGTCAAGGGATGCGGCCCGGTGCCGAAGGAGCAAGGAGTCAGAAGTGTTCTATGAACTCGCCCACCAGCTGCCTCTGCCCCACACCGTGAGCGCACACCTGGACAAGGCGTCCATCATGAGGCTGACCATCAGCTACCTGCGCATGAGGAAGCTGCTGGATGCTGGTAAGGGAATGATGGGGCAGAATCCCATCCTATTCTAGTGATCCTGGTTGGCTCGTCACAGCTGTAGTGCCGTTTTCAGTCACATTTGGTGCTTCTCCCAGAGTTAATTTCCTTCCTGTATTTGTTTGTTCCAGCTGTGCTTTACTCAGCTGTAGGCAGTTGGTGCAAGGCTGGCTGAGCTGACTGTGGATGTATCCCCTTAATATAAACTGCAAGGAATATTTTTGTAATCTGTGCCCCACTGAAGGTGAAGTTAGCTGAGGATGTGTTGTCTCTGCAGTGACACCTGCCCATGCAACTGCAGGAGTATCTGAGTGAGGTTATGAACCAGTGCTGTGGGTGCTGTACTGGTTATTTGCACATCTACCTTTAAAGTATGGAGGAGTAAGTTCAGTAGCCAGACTCTGAAATCTCTCCCAGCAAGCCCATGAGTGAAGTTTGTAATGCCTTTTTGAGATAATGCCTTTTTGACATAAATGGTAATATTTTTGCCATGTAGACTTTCTCCTTAAGGTGGAAGGTTTATTGCTTAATGCATAAAAGCACAGAGGGTTAACTTCACTCTGGTTTTCTGTGATTTGTGATACCATTACTGGAGCTTGAAGAACTGATCACTTATCTAAATGAATTATACTGGTTTTGAATGGTCCTGCAAGATTGGCTTCTTGCAGAGTGGTGCCAGATGTAATTTCTGATGGTAAGGGAAGAATGGGTGGTGTTTACTTAAACAGAAATGTGTGACTGCTTGCAGGTGAGCTGGAGACAGAAGCCAAAATGGAGAAGGAACTGAACTGTTTCTACTTGAAGGCTCTTGATGGATTTGTCATGGTTCTGTCTGAAGATGGGGACATGATTTACATGTCTGAAAATGTGAACAAGTGCATGGGACTCACTCAGGTGAAATACTGACATTTCCTAAGACTGTTTCAAATCTGTAAAAGCTGTTCCATTTTTGTATATGTGAAGTTAAACACCCATATACCTCCTATTTCTTGCAGTTTGAGTTGACGGGGCACAGTGTATTTGATTTCACTCATCCATGTGACCATGAAGAGCTGAGAGAAATGCTTACACACAGAAATGGTGAGAAAAAAGAAAAAAAATCAATTTAATTTACTTATGTTTAGTTCCTGTTGGCATTAATACAGTTGGATATCTGCCAGAAAATGGTTTTGAGTGAACAAACTAGTGTGCTTTTCTGCTTAAATCTCAAAGTAAACCTTGTTGAGAGATACTAACAACAGAAATAACCAAAATGTTTTGGCAATATCCTAATTATAGGAAAAATGAGACTTCATTATTACTCTTTAATCTAACAAAATGAATGACTAAAATGGAGTTCTTGAGGGTTGAAAGAATTCAAGTGCCTACAGGAATAAAATTAAAGGTAGGTTAAATGAGAATGATTTTAAGCAATTACAGTAGAAGGACATGGAGAAGTTCAGTTGGTGCATTTGTCTTGGTCTGGGCTTGCCTTTATAGGACAACTGAAAAGCAAATGCTTTCTTCCAGAAAAGTGTGGTGGTATACTTAAGACACAAAAAAGGGATACTGTATTTGAATTTTAGGACACCAAAAAACAGATTGGGGAAGACTTGAACAACCCCAAAAAGGGCTTTTGGGTTGATGCTTCTGTGCACCCTTTAGTTGGTGCATGAAATTGGTATCTTTTCACAGACTTCTGACTCTCCTTTTCTCCGTCTGAGGGAGCAGAACACCGAGTTCACGTGTTCTGCATGCTTTTGAATTTAACAATTGCCCATGAATTACTGCTTTTATGTCTTCTAAAGGTTTGATAATGACTATGAAGACTTGGCAGCCCATCTGCCTCCAAACAATTCTGCTTTACTCAGTAGTTAGAAGTCTAAAATCCAACCTCTATAATTTCTGTTTCATCAAACAGGGGTTATATGGACTCTGAATCCAGATAGTGATGATTTGCTAAACCTGACCTCTGCTTTCATGTAGCACTGTAAATCAGAAGTCTTATGTTGTCATCCTACTAATTGAATGGAAGAGACCTGATAAGATAACATAGCACTAAGGGCCCTGACTTTGGTTTTGGAAGCATTTTGTAAACTTGTCTGCCTTTACTACTGAAATATATTTCTAAGGCTAGATTAGATTCTCCCCAGCCCCCACTTTTGGAATACAGTAATGCAGTCTTAGGGCTGGGGAAACAACTTCCCTAAAGCAGTTTAAAAAAACTGGTTTTGTTGCAAAAGCTTATTCTTAAAAATGTCATCTCGCTGAGTTTCATGCAAACCCAGCTCTAGCATGTCTAAATTGGCCAGACTGGAATAAGATGTCTGGAAAGCATTATTACAAAAGCTGTTTTGCAAATGAAGTTGGCAGACAAAAGTCTGAATTACAGTAATAATAGTAGATTTTTATATTTATTAGTATTCCCAGGTTGCATTCTACTGCACCTCTTACATCAGTGGAATTATTTTGGTTTTGAATTGAGTATTAAATATTCCCCTTTGGGATTGTATGAGTGCAAGTGAATATGAATGTGATTGGCAGAAACAGAACTGCGTTCTCATTTTATGAAGCTGCTTTTTAAACTTGCAAAGCTGGTGATCTTAAAAACTAATCCCCGATGCCGAATCAGACTTGAGAAAGTTGCTCCATCTTTTACAGTTGCTTTGTAAAGCAGAGCCTTAAGCATCAGGGCTTGCTAACAATAATGTTGTGTGACCTTCAACTATTGATTTCTAGATTGGTTTAACTCTTTTTAAAAACATATTGAATTAAAGAAGTTTTGGTTGTTTCTGTGAACTCTGCTTTAGTTCCCCTGCTCCTTATTGAGGATATTTTGATGTGGCCTAAAATGGGCTTGACCCCGTTAGTCTTTGCCTCCACTAGAAGCCATAGACAGTGTAGGTATTGGGTTTTTAATGTTTTTCTAATGAATTTTGTCATACTAGTAGCTGCAGTGCAAGCCACCCTGAAGAATTTCATAGCTACTATTATCTGTGGAGGATGAGAGCAAGTTACCATATAAACTTGTACCAGAAGCAAGGTCATAAGTTCTAAACTTTCCCCTCTGCCGCGATTCTGTCCTTGCTCCTTAGCAAACCTCAGCAAACTGGCTCTCCCACTGCTCCTTCTCCTGGGTGCTTTATTTCCTTCTTCCACCCATTGTGAGCTGCTTGCAGCTCTCCTGATACCATCAGTTACATTTTTTTTGCCCACAACAGCATAACTAGTAATTGACTCTGAAAGGATCTCCCCTGTAAAAGCAAAATCTTAACTTTAAGCCTGCTGGTAGCACGTAAGGCTAAAAAATTACTGCTGCTAACCTTGATTTCTATTAGGGTTTCTTGATTTTTTTTTCTGCCCAAGAATGCTAATAATGTGTTTAAAAACCTGGTCCCTGTTTACTCCAAGAGTGTAAATTGCCGTGGAAGTATTTGGTTGCATGTAAACAGCAGAATTGTTAATTCTGAATTGAAAAATTTAAAGCTACTGCAGTCCTGGAGAGCTACAGGCCCAAAAGGTATTTGGTTTGAACCTGAATTACTGATGCATTTCAATGGAAACCAACTCAACAGGGCTTCTCATTCTGCATGTGCTTTTCTTGTCCACTGCCATAGCATTAAAAAATATTTAATTTTCAGTCAATCTTTTCCCCCCATCCCTTTTTCCTGAAATCTGTGAGCGTGGAGTTGGCTACAAAAACAATACTGATCTTAAAACATTGAAACTGGACTGCAAAAGCCTCTCCTACGAGGACAGGCTGAGAGGGGCTCCAAGAGAGCTGGAGAAAGACTTTGAACAAGGTCACGGAGTGACAGGACAAGGAGGAATGGCTTCTAACTGACAGAGGGCAGGGTTAGATTGGATATTAGGAAGAAATGCTTCCATATGAGGGTGGTGAGGTCCTGGCACAGATTTCCCAGAGAAGCTGTAGCTGCCCCATCCCTGGAAGTGTTCAAGGCCAGGTTGGATGGGGCTTGGAGCAACCTGGTCTACTGGCACGGGTGTTGAAACTAGATGATCTTTGATCTCTTCCAACCCAAACCATTCTCTGATTCTATGAAACTTCAGGTTTTTGTCTCCATGATAGTAAAACTTGTTCTGAAAAGTATTATTATCAAAAATGCTGTTAGGCTTATCAATCTTTTTAGTTTATTTTTTGAGTCCTCTCCTAGACTGAGAGTTCTCTAACATGCTGGGGGATTTTTTGCACCATGATGATCCAAGAGCTTAAGAACTGGTTTGCTGTCTGCTTTTGCCAGGTCCTGTGAAAAAGGGCAAAGAGCAAAACACGGAGCGCAGCTTTTTTCTCAGAATGAAGTGTACACTGACTAGCAGGGGAAGAACAGTGAATATAAAGTCTGCTACCTGGAAGGTAACTAACGCAACGGAGTATTTACATAATTTGGCAGCTTCCTCTTCAGATGTCATAACACTATATTTCAACATTTTTACTTCATGTAACGAGCTTGAGTTTCACTAAGTACTTTATAATTTAATGACTGTGCTTCAATATGCTGAATTTTAATGCTGAATACATCACAGAGGTAACCGAAACAATGTTTTAAAATTAGTTTTTCAAGACTCTTCTAATGAATTTTCCATTTTAAGTTAGAGGTAATTTACTTACAAACAATTGTAATTACTAAATACGTTTGCATAAAGCCTTCTCTGGGAAAAAAATACTTGACACCACTTATGCTGATCCCTGATTTCTTTTGATTTGACACTGAAAATGTGACAGTTGAGGTCTCTCTGAAGGACTTCAATGCCATTCTTTTCAAGCTGCTGGCTCTCCCTTTTGTAACAGTTGGAACAAAAAGAGGCCAGCCTGATAACTTTCTGCAGTGAATGCATTTTCTCCTCTGCACAAAAAGTAACCTTTTACTGTATCAAGTGCATTATGGCTCACAGTTCTCTTTTATAACTTGAATTTCATTACTCTGGATCAAACAACTTCTTTGCTGCTGTCTGTGAACAATTTCTGCTTCAGAATGGTTAAAAGAAAACCCCACAAAATGCAAAACTTCTTGTCTTTTGAAGGAAATATTGGATCCCTAACATCACTTCTGCAGAAAATCTAAAATGGAGGTTGCTGCCATTACCATAACGTTCAAATTTAAACAGCAAGATACTTTTGCTGAGGCAGTTGCTTATCAGTGTCATTACTGTAACTTTCAAAGAGCAGCAGTTCACAGAAATGCAGCAATTTTTGGTGTTGCCTCATGCAGCATTGAGGGGAAGGAGCTGACACTCTGTGTGCCCATCACAGGCTGTGCGGTGTGGGGAGGAGAACAACTGCTCTCCTGTAGCCATCCCTCCATCCATCCCACAGCACTGCTCCTTCCTCTGGCTGCTACCACATCGAGGGGTGGGGAGGGAAGGACTTTGCTCTGGTGTGCTAATGGCAATATGAGTGTGTTGTCTGGCGGACAAGAACCTCGTCTCTCTTTAAAATACAACTTCCCCGTAGGTGCTGCACTGCACTGGACACATCCGTGTGTACGACACGTGTGGTAACCAAACTCACTGCGGCTACAAAAAGCCTCCCATGACGTGTCTGGTGTTGATCTGTGAACCTATTCCTCACCCATCAAACATTGAGGTCCCCTTGGACAGTAAAACGTTCCTCAGTCGTCACAGTCTTGATATGAAATTTTCCTATTGTGATGAAAGGTAATATATATATAATTTATACTCTAAAAAATAATTAATTTGGCTAATGCTTGCCTTGTACATTTACATAGTCTTTTTTGATTACTCAATTCATCTCCCCAGTGGAATCATTGGTGGGATACTTTGGCTTTTATTGAATGATCAGGATACTTTCAAAGCCAGATTTTTAAATCTAAGGAGGATGAAGGGTTTGTTCAAGGTCAGATTGGATGGGACTGAGAGCAACCTGGTCTAGTAGAAGGTGTCCTGCCCATGGCAGGATGTTGGAACAAGGTGATTTTTAAGGTCCCTTCCAGCCCAAACCATTCTGTGAATAAATCCTTTGCCTGCTGTTAACTGCCTGTTCAAACTGGTCTTTACTACAGTGACAGTGATTAAATTGAAATGGGAAGATTCTTCCAGACACTGAAAAAACAGGAAGGTTTTACGTTTCTCAAATATGGGACATTTCTGGTGACTGAAAAGAGTGTGTATGTAATACTTGTCAGATGCATTTTATTGCTATTGCTTCCCCTCTCCCTTCCTCAGGAGGTCAGTGTTTGCTTTCTTCACTCGAAAAAAAATCCAAAAGTTCAGCTGTATTTTTAATGCAATACATCTGCTGTTGAAAAATGAGATTTTTGTGTTTTGGTACAAATCAGTTGTGTAAGCAAACACAAAAGGCTGATTTTGCTATCCTCTGGACACTTAGCTTGACAAATTTGATAAACTCAAGTGAAGGAAATAATCAGCTGTGAGGTTTTTTGTTGTTTGGGGCTTGTTTGTTTCATTTGTTTGTTTTTAATTTAGTGTTATCTGTTACTGCCTATTTCCTTTTCTTTAGAACAAAAGTGAACTTCTAGTTAGTTGTTGCAATTAGATACCAAAAGAGGTTAGTGCAGGTTATTTCTCTCCTCTGCAGGAATTACCTTTCTAGGACTGATGGTGTCACATAAAAGGTACTTATTTGGTCACATTCTGCATCTGGAACGGGGCAAAATGCAAGCGCTGCCCTTGTTAGCACTGCCCTCTAGAGACTGAAGAAATCCCATTTTCCTTAAAAGCAGGCAGTGTTTGAGGGGGAAGAGTAAATCTGATTTCTCATTTCTCTTAGTTGCAGGTTTAAAACTGTTGAAGTGTGTCGTTGTCATTTTATTAAATTCTCTTATTTGCCTAAGCTGGTCTGTAAGTAGCTGGTCCACCTTGAAGCAAAAAATTACAAGTGTCTAGAAAGCAGGGATTTGCTTAATCCTATCCCACTATAAATACTCGGTGAGAAGTAGAATCCTGTGCCTGCTGAAATTTCTCTTTTAAAGAGGCATAAAAATAGCAATTTATTTCAAAACGAAGAGTCCTGGTAAAACGTAGTTGCTGCTGGTGTGCGTGGAAGTGACTCTTAGGGATTTTTTAGATCTGCAAGCATCCACATGCTCTAGTATTTGTGCTTGTCCGTGTCTGCTTTTATATAGTCGTTTTCTCCCTTGTTTTAAAGAATTACAGAGTTGATGGGGTATGAGCCAGAGGAGCTCCTGGGCCGCTCAATCTATGAGTACTATCACGCACTGGATTCTGATCATCTGACCAAAACACACCATGACAGTAAGTGAAAAGTGAATTTAAAGTCCTCCAGCTACAGGGGATGAGAGACAGCACTGGGGGAAAGCAGCATCAGAACAGGAGCTTTTTTTTTTAAAGTGCATATGTGAATCTGCAATGGATGTTTACCTTAAAAGATTTTGGTTTTTTCTGCATGTAATTAAAGCTGGTGTCCTTTCTGTTTTTAGTGTTCACAAAAGGGCAGGTGACAACAGGGCAGTACAGAATGCTGGCAAAACAAGGTGGCTATGTCTGGGTTGAAACTCAAGCAACTGTTATATACAACACTAAGAATTCTCAGCCACAGTGCATAGTGTGTGTAAACTATGTGTTGAGGTAAGTTGAGTGGACCTTGATGTTCTTTGTCATCATCTTTATTGAAGACAAAGTCAGGTTCTGATAGAACTACATCTTTTTTTTTCAACTTCCTGAGAATGCCATCCCCTGTTGAATATGTTATGATATTACTGTTCCCTAGAAATTAAATTAATTTTTGCTTAGAATACTGCCAGTCCTAGGATTAGAAATTATATTTGAAAACAAAACACGTTTTGGATATAGTGATGAGTGTAGGACCAGCCTATTCTATACTGTCTCACTGTAAGCATTTGAGCATTTGTGTGCTCAAAAAACTCTCTAATCTTTGTCTGAGCAGTTAATTCCACTGTGGAGTCAGAGCAGCAGTAATGGTGCCTTTTGTAATCCCATTTATCTTTTTCTTCCTTAGAATTCCTCTTTTAATTGAAAGCTTCAACTCAAAGCAGACTAGCTGACTGTTTTTCTGCAATTGTATAATAGTCCTAAATTAGCTTTTCAAAACTTTAGTGAGTGTACCAGTATCAGTCTATCAAGATATTGCATGTTCATAAGTAGTTTAGGAAATATCTTTTTTCCCCTTTTTTTTTCTATCTTCCTTAATGCTTTCAGAAAAGCATGTTTATTTTTGTTACTTTTTTTGATGGCCCTACAGTTAGTACTTGCTTTGTCTGTTACTTTTGAGGAAAGAACGAGTAAGAAAAAAAGAATTTTTAAAGCCCTTATCCTGGTAATTTTGTGGGATGTGTGTGGTGGGGTTTTTTGTTTTGTTTAGGGAAGGGAAGTGGGTTTCAACTTACAAAACTGTTAAGCCAAAATTTATTTCTTTTAGCTGTTCTTTAACAGTCATCTTCCTCTCTGTCTGACAGTGGAATTGTTCAGAAGGACTTAATTTTTTCCCTTGGACAAACTGAGTGTATGCTGAAACCAGTGGAGTCTCCTGATATGAAAATGACCAAAATATTAAATAAAGATGACCTGGATGATACCAACAGCCTCTTTGAAAAACTTAAACAGGAACCAGATGCTTTAACTGTGCTGGCCCCAGCTGCTGGAGACACAATTATCTCTCTAGATTTCAGCAGTAATGGTGGGTGTGTGTTTAAATTGGAAAGCATGCTAATTAGCAAAGTTAGTGTTTTAAAGTAGATTTCAAAAAATAACCTCCCAGTACCACTTACCCAGTGGTATTTCAGCTGCTGTTTAACTTTATTGAGGCCCATAGACACGCACAGTGCTGTTACTTAGGTTGATGGTTTCTTTTAATTTTTATAGAGTCTGATGAACAACAATGTGATGAAGTTCCTTTGTATAACGATGTAATGCTCCCCTCATCCAGTGAGAAATTGCAGAATATAAATATGGCAATGTCCCCACTACCTGCCTCTGAAACTACAAAGCCACTTCGTAGCAATGCTGATCCTGCACTCAATAGAGAAGTTGTATTAAAGCTGGAGCCAAACACAGAGCCACTCGAACTTTCTTTTACCATGCCTCAGGTGCAAGAGCAACCAACCAGCCCTTCTGATGCAAGTACCAGCCAAAGTTCACCTGAGGTTAGTTTCGTAATTTGGATATGCTGTCATTAAAATGTATGTGCTGTTGGGGCTTGTGGGGCAAATCTGGTTAAGGATGCAGCCGGGACAGGAATTGGGAATTATTTCTACCTTGTGACTTAAGCTCACACCATGATCTGAGGAAACAGATAAATTTTCATATCTTTTCATTAAAGTGAGTCTTGCAGACACATGCAATACCATCTGATAGAAATGAGGAGAGCTTGGGATTGGTCTTTTTAGAAAAGAATGATTCAGATGCAACTTCCTTAAACAGCAAAGTAGTTGTAATAAGTTACTGTAGAGGCTAATTCCAGGTTCCAGATAGTGCTTCCCAAGTGGGGTAAATTTGAATGTATACAGGCAAGTGTGTTTTCCCTTCCCATCTGAATTTCGTGCAACTAAGTTTGAAGTTAAATTAGAATGTATTTCAGAGAATCTGTAGATAACAGTGCAAAACGGTGTAATGAGAGAAACCTAAAACTGTGCTCAAAATGTCTTCACAGCCCAGTAGTCCCAACGACTACTGCTTTGACGTGGATAATGACATGGCGAATGAATTCAAACTGGAATTAGTGGAGAAACTCTTTGCCATAGATACAGAAGCAAAAAATCCGTTCTCTACTCAGGTAAAGTACAGTAACTTAAAATTTTTCATCATCACCATACTTATTCTGAATGTGCTTCTCTTTCTCCTTAGAACGTCTTCAGGAACTTTCTTCGTTCTTTATGTAATATTTTTATTAAAGTGCAAAAAAATAGTTAAAGATTTGGTGAAAGGAAGAGCCTTGATGAAGCCATAAGTCCTAGCTGAGATTTCTTCCACATTTATAAGTTTTACGTCTCGTCTTTTCCAGGAAACCGATTTAGATTTGGAGATGTTGGCTCCTTACATCCCGATGGATGATGACTTCCAGCTGCGATCCTTTGATCAGCTCTCTCCGCTGGAAAGCAGCTCTTCCAGCTCTCAGAGTGCAGCCACCATTACCATATTTCAGCAGACTCAGACGCCGTCAAGTCCTGCTGAGGAGATAAAGCCAGCGGTGGAACGTGCGGACGATGTGAAGACAATAATCGTCCCTTCGTCTCCTGTGCACGTGGGCAGTGAAACGAGTAGTGCCCCGGCGTCGCCTTACGGTGGGAACAGGAGTCGAACCGCCTCTCCAATCAGAGCAGGAAAAGGAACAGTGGATCAGACGGAAAAACCTTCTCCAGGAGCACCCAGCTTGCTAACAGTAACTCTGAATAAAAGGTATTTGAAAGCGCGGCTTAAGCCCTAGTGTGAGTTCAAGGAACTAGATATAATACACCTATAAATTCTGCCATGTGTTGTATGTTGTCTTCAGCATTCTGCTTCAAAGTAGGAATTGGTACATTTAAATTTGGACACTTCAAACAAGTCTGTGTTTTTTTATAGTAAACCTCCCTGAAGTTAATTTCACGGTAGCTTTTACATAAGCACCTTATGTAATAGGCAGCTACTGTATGCAGACTGTGTTCAGATTTTGATCTGCCTTGTACCTGACATGCAGCCTTTGGACAAGAAGGCAGTAGGCAATTTACAGGTAGTTGCACCCACACAGTATTTGTGGTGCTTTCCTTGTCCACTTTGTTAGAAGTAAGGGGCAGCTACAGTCCGTGCTACATTTATTGCTTTTAAAATGAGCCGTATTTTATGATGATGGACTGTGGTGTATGTAGTAGACATTTACCACAATAGAAAACTACATAAAGTCAAACATCAGTTTTGTGATGCATAAAAGATTTATCTGTACATAGAAATGTTCAGAAGAGACTTTCCCTCACCCTTCCCTCCCTTCTTTCAAAAGTAAATTGTTGAACTTTTATGCTTTTTTTCCTGCAGATTTAAAAATTTTTGTTAAAACTCATTCTGAGCTTCACAGCAAGATTAAAAGCTAACATTTGCTATGCTCATAGACAATGATTGTTGAAATGAGTCAATTTATGAACGAAAAGTAGTAGAGTTCATAATTTCAGTTCTGTGATGATGTGTATATTTAAGTGTCCACAAAAGAAGAATGGCTTGAGGAGAGTAGAAACGTCTTAACAGCCTGAATCAATTTTTCTTAGATCTACTGCACTGGATGAAGAACTAAATCCAAAGATGCTAGCTTTGCATAATGCTCAGAGAAAACGAAAAATGGAACATGATGGTTCACTTTTTCAGGCAGTTGGAATTGTGAGTTTTGTTTTACCATTTTAAAATATTCCCTTTTAACCTTGCAATTTCTGAAATGAGGCATCACTGCAGACTCCTGAGTTGAGCTGTTGATAAGCAATGGAATCTTGGGATCAGAAATAATTAATTGTTTGATAGTGAAATTTATATTTATATATCTATGCAGATACTCCAATTTTAGTTCTCTTTTACTGTCAGCTGTTTCAAAAGTGCCCTCTACACTCAAGCACATTTCTTGATTAGGTAGAAGATACTCTTCTGTGAACATATATGTTCTTCAGTAGGATATGCACAAATATAAGACATCACATTGAAATGTGTAATTGCTGTATTTATTTCATTTTTGAATTGAAATTCAGTTCTCATATTTGTCGATACCAGAGATAGTGTTCTTATGCTTCTTCCTATGTTTTCATTTTTCCATTAAGTCTGATATTCCTTTACTTAATGATATAACAAGACCATCTGAACCATGAGGGAATAGAATTCCTATAATAACTTAGCTAATGTCTATTACTACCACTCTCTTCCATGCACACTCTGTCTAGTATTAGTGTGTGTGATTTTGGAGTAGGTCATCATCATCTGTCCTAACTATTCAAAAGAAACTTTTTAGATATTCTTATATTTGTGTCACTCAGTTGGAGGTTGTCCAACTTGTTATTTTCTGCAGGGGTATTTTTGTCTCCATAATCTTTGTCTCTTGCTGTCAGTTCTTAGTCTTTTGAACCCTTGTGCTTTGCCATTGTACACTGTTCTCTCTCTTCTTGCCTTCATTGCAAATTTCCACTTCTGAAGTTTTGCACAGTTAAGTCTTACTTCCTCTACTGCAATGTAGCCTTTGAGATTCTTTGTTTCTCTAGTGGTCCATCTCCTAATTGTAGTCACCCATCATGTCTTACAGTGCAGGATTATTTTTCCTCTGAACTATGCATTATTCCTGTGCTAGTATTCTGCTTTGGGCATGAGATAAATCACTGTTTGTTGTCTTTATCATTGCTGTCCTCTAAAAGAGCTGTGAAAGATTTTATATGTCCAGTTTTTCTATGAGGCAAACACTTTATTGATTTTTTTCTTTAAATCATAATTATGCCATTGTTTTCATTTGCTAAATGCTTTGCATGTTGTTCTGTTGCTTCCAGAAGCCATGTTAGAATTCATAGCTCTGCAAGAACTTTTGTTGCCTTCCATTGCCCTTTGCTCATGCAGTGGTGCTACAGCTGTTGCAGTGTTGCTGACAAAATATTCAAAATAGCTTGGGATGTCATTAAATACACAAAACACAAGCAGTTCAGTATTAAGTGCTGTAACAGTTTTCAGTCTTACTGTGCTTAGTGCCAGTTTAATGCTTACAGGTTCAGACTTCATCCTTCGCTAAACCTTTTTCTTTTTTCTGTATCTGACAAAAGTGTTGTAAATATTTTGATGGTTTCTTAGAATCAGAAGCCGAATTTCCATGAAGCTGGGTCTTACTGATGTTATTTTAAGAAAGTGCTTTTGCTGTTTGGCTTCTTTCTCCAGAATGGATTTCTGAGAGGGATACACAGGCCTTTCACACTCGCAGAAGAAAAATGATGTTAAATCCAGGCTTGGGATGCACGCTATTCTGGAACTGTACAAACACTTGGCACAACTTATTAGCTTTAGGGAAGCAGGACATATTGTGCAAGGAGTGAAAAGGAGTGAAGACCAAAGTAAAGTACTCCTTTAGCTTCCTAGGAAACAGGAAAATTAGGCGAGGGCAAGATGTGTCATAGTCTGATTATAAAATAATGTTCTAAATCCTTACACTGGAACAGTTATGAGCCATGCCTTTCTAAATATGAAGGGCTGGATTGCATTCACAATAAAAAAGTGAACCAGCAACAATGTAGGTGACTGACCTCAGTATGAACTGCAGCTTCTGAGTAAACTGTACCTTCTATTATACATCTGTTCTTTTGACTTGCATGAGTGTTTTATAATCTGAAAACATGCTCTTTACTGTTTTAAGTGTTGGCTATAGTGGCAGGGTTCTGAAATACCTTCTCCTCTTGTTGCAGCAGTCAGTGGTACTAACAAGACCAAACTTTGCAGATTCAACTATTTCTGCCAGGAAACTTGATACTAAGACTGCGTTTTTTCCTTCCATCTGTTTCAGTGGCAGCTGCTTCTTCCTTATCCTAATTACATGAAGCCCTTACAGCTTCCTAATCCCCATATCTTCTGTGCTGCTGTCAAAACAATATGCTAAGGAGCCATATCTGCAGTAGACTGGCTTAGGATGCATTCCCCACAAGGCAATAACTGGAGTGCAAGCAGAATTCACATCTTAAATTTAGATAGAATCGACCTACCGAGGTTCCTGAATCTCCTGTCTATACACTGTTAATTCCAGTGCAGAAAACCATTAGAGACTCCAGTGTAAACCTGATGCTTACTCACACCAGAGCAGTGCTAATTAAATGGGTGTGTATGTGTACATGTACACGCTAATCTTGAGCGTGGTAACTGGTGATAACCAGGATTTAGTAATTGTTTTCTGTAAGGGAAGTAAGATCTTGAAATCTGATTCAGTTTTCATTTAAGTAATTTTCAAGGTTAGTGGACTTGTAAATACGTTTCTCCCCAAGTTCTGAACAAAGGCCACTTTAAATTGTATCAGTGCCTACATTAGTAACAAGTGACGGGAACTGTTAATTTGGAAGAGGGATGTGGAGGGATAGAAAGATACAGTATTCAATAAAGAAGATTCAATTTATTTCTTTCTAGGGGTCTTTATTCCAGCAGACAGGAGACCGTGGAGGAAATGCATCACTTGCTTGGAAACGTGTAAAGGGATGCAAAACGAATGGTCCTAATGGAGTGGAGCAAAAGACAATCATTCTACTATCAACTGGTTGGTATCTTCCTTTAATAGGCAGCGGGGGTGGAGGGGACTGTGTGAAAGAGAACTGAGTGGCCAAAACTATCCAAACTTAGCTCCTTATGAACAGCTCTGGAGGAGAGGTTAAGCATGGTGAATAAAGTGCACTTTTTCTCGTTCCCCTCCCTCTTTAGACATAGCAAGTAAACTTCTAGGGCAGTCGATGGATGAGAGTGGACTCCCCCAACTCACGAGTTACGACTGCGAAGTAAACGCTCCCATACAAGGCAACAGAAACCTGCTACAGGGTGAAGAACTGCTCAGAGCTCTGGATCAAGTTAACTGAGCTTTCACAAAACTTGTTCCTTTTTTGGACACTGGTGAATCATCACCTAAAGCAGTCTATTTATATTTTCTATATCTGATTTTAGAAGCCTGGCTACAGTACTGCACTAATTCAGTTAGTTCAGTTTTGATCCCCTTTCTACTTATTTTGACAGTCTTTTTAATATGTTCTTTATGTAACAATAACTCAAACTGTAGTGCATTTTTATAATTCTTTGGTACATACACTTTTAAGTCCATTACATTTAAAACACACTTGCAATAGCAGCTTTGAAATATGCACCTAATTTTAAAAAAAATATTTATTTTTTGGCTGGGGAGTTGGTCACCAAAACTTACCATTAGTAAAATGTCAACACAGGAAAAACTGGCAATACTTCCATGCTGCTTTTCACAGGTAGTTGGAAGACTTGTGCTCTCTTACTCTTTATGTTCAAGTAAGTTTTTTATTTTAATAGTTTTTATAAGAAACAACAATGCTTTGCAGCAGTGCATTGTAGCCACAATCGCACAATATATTTTCTTAAAAAATACCAGCAGTTCCTCATGCAATATATTCTGCATTTATAAAAACTAGTTTTTAAGAAGAATCTTTTGTTTGCCTATGAAAACATGTTTAAACCTGGATTATGTCATTATTTTAGTCACGTTGTAATATAAATTGTTCTTAAATGCTGTCTTACGCTTTTGACTTCGATGAGTGTGGTCAATTAGTCAAAGGAAAGGGTTTATCTGGAAAGGGCTAGCAGCATTTTATTTGGATACGTTCTCAATTTAGAGAAAGTTTGATGTTCTTAAAGTAGTCACTTTGCCAGCTTAAAAAAAAAAAAAAATCCCTGCCTGTAGTTGTTGAAGTTAATGCTAATATTGTGTATGATCTTAAATCTAAATGTTCAGCTTACCCTGTGTGGTATAGGTGATATTTCAAGCAGATTGTAAAACATCTTGCATTGTTAGCAAACTTTTATCTAGTACAACATTGAGTTGCTCAATATTTTGATGTTTTGGTTTTATGCACCTTGTTGCTATTAACATCCATATGTTTTCATGTAGATTTCAATAACTTGAATATATTTAGAAGCCTTTTTATTTAGAAATATATAGTTGTCACAAACATCTTATTTTCCTATATGTACTGTACAAAACCTTCATTCACTCATTCTTTTGCTCTTTGTGGTTGGATCTAACACTAACTGTATTGTTTTCTTACATCAATAAACTATATGTGGACCAGGCCCCCTTGGGGAGTGTGTTATCTGAGAGAAATGAGATAATTTATATTTTTGTTAGTGGTTATTGTTCATCCGTGTTCCCTTTTTAACTTAGAGTTGATTGGAAATCACTGCTTCCTTGTTTTGATTGTAACATCTCTGCGTTAATTATTTGAGCCTATTCAGTGCTCCTAGACAGTGTTGTACTACCACTCGCCAAAGACGTTACACTTCTCAGTCTGTTATCACACCAGTGAGCAAACTTGAAAACGAGGAGGCAGCATATTTGTGTTACTTTAGAGCAGAAAGATTCACCTTTATGAACAGCTTAAAGGCTTGTCTCTGGAAGCTTTATCAAGGTAACACAGGAAAGCAGGAAAAAGTCAAATTCACGGAGTGATCGATCTAAGATGGGTTTTTATCACAAAACTCCGTGATTAAAAATTTAAGCTGGTACTTGATAAAACTTGTTCTACATTCTTGTCCTGTTGACTCGGTGACTTTTCTTAGTTTGGTGTCATAAAACATGATGCTACTGGTATAACCCTGTATTGTGTAAATATGGTCAAGATATTCTGTGCATTCTCCAAACTATTTTAAAAAAAACTTATCTTGGTGTAAACTTTGGTTTCATTGCACTGCTTTGAAATCAATATAATAGTACATAAGCTTAACTTGTTCTCTAAAATGACTGTTTCACTGAAAGATGCACTACCCAAACTGCCACAACTGTATTAGGCCAAAAGGACACTATGAGCAAGATAAGGCATTGGCAGGAGACAGTTTTGCGTAGAAATTGCACAGAGAGGATAAAGTGTGTAGGGGCACTCAGCTGGAGCTGAAGCTTCCTGCAGAGAACGTTTTCACTATATACACCCGCCACTGATTAGTAAAGCAGCCTATACAGCTTACAAAGTTCTCTGGCTGAAAGCAGCAGAGCTCCTGCCTGCCTGGTGGGTGAGGTCTCGGGGCTGGCATTCTTTCCATGGCATTTCTTTCTCTGTCAGCAGTTAAAAGGTTTAAACAGTGAAGTCAGCTAAAGCCCCTGCTGTTGGGGCATCCCTGCTGCTTAGCTCTGCACGGATTGACATGGTGCTTTGGAGAGATAGTGGGGAGAGTCTTGCAGGCAGGTGAGAAGTGCAGCTGGGTTCTGCTTTTTTTACTGTCCCTGCAAGCTTTGATCTGGCTCGGTGGGTTGTTATCCCTTTGCATCTCCCAAGAGAAATGCCACACCATCCTGCTTGATGGTGTTCTGCTGCTCTCTTGACCATATTTTGGAGGAACCTGACCTGTTTGGATCTGTCAGTTCCTCTTCAGTGTACTTTAAGAGGGCAGTTAAGTTTTCATAGAGAAAAGTCCATGTTAAAAAGAGGGGGGAAACTGAAGTGACCCACGTGATTTGTGCTTGTGAGCCTGCTGGAATCACAGAATGGTGTAGCTTGGAAGGGACCTTAAAGATAACTTCATTCCAACAGTACTGTCATGGACAGGGACTCCTTCCACTAGACCAAGATGCTCAAAATCCCATCAAACCTTGCCTTGATCATCTCTGATCTTAGTGACAGCAGCTGTGGATTTAAGAGAGCCAGAATCTTTCCAACTCTCACGTTTTTTACTATGCATAGTAGCCAGGAACAGCATTTTGTTTACTGGGATGAACTGCAGTAGCTGTTTTGGTTTAGTCTAGGGAAAAAAAACCCAACCTAACAAAAACTTACCAGACCTCCTAGAGACAGTGAAGAAGGCTTGGAAAAGTAATAGTAATTGCTCTAGCCTTGCATGAGCTTTGGTAAATGCAGATGCCAGTTTGCAAAGCTAGAAGTACAGCTTTCTGTTGCTTTTTTTGTTTGTTTCTGTTTTACTAGCTTTTTTTTTCCCCCTGTTAAACTACCTTTTTTTTTTTCCCTTAGACTCCAGGAATACACAGTCTGATTCTAAACGTATTTTGGAGGGCAAGGTTCTAGAATAAATTGCTTCCTTAATGTTTTTTATTGATTTTGAATACTTTCTTTGCTGCCTTGCTGCCTTTTTTAAATGTAGAGGCACTATGTTAGAAATTAGGAGGAAATTCATGACTGTGAGGGTGGTGAGGTACAGGCACAGGTTTCCCAAGGAAGCTGTGGGTGCCCCATCACCTTGGTATTGTCCAAGGCCAGGTTGAACAGGGCTTGGAGCAACCTGGTCTAGTGGAAGGTGCCCCTGCCTATGGCAGGGGCTTGGAACTAAGTGGGTTTTAAGGTCCCTTCCTACCCAGACCGTTCTGTGGTTCTATGATTTATCCTTTGCCATTAGTAGTTAAGAAGAAACTGTGGGTAAATACAGTGTTTCCTCCTGCATATAGAACATGCTAGATAATGTGGAAATGATAAACTGAGGAGAATAACAAAGTTAGCTTCCTGGTTTTCCTGACTACAGCAATAGTCAAGCCAGGGTTTCTTCAGGGCACAGCACAATTATTTTTTTTACTTATGAATTCTAATTGATGTTTTAATCATCAACAGTGATGATTTTGCTAAAAGGTAAAGGAATTTTTAAACTAGTATTTATGATGATATTGTTCATTCCTTTACCCAAATGTAGTTGCAGTAGCAACTGTGGCTTCCCAGAAGTCACTTAAATCTGCTGTCCAGTAACTTATCTTGGGTGTAGTATACTGGGTAAATTAAGGTCACCTGTAGTCCAAAGTACACCTTTCTAAAATACTTTCCTCTCACCTGGTGCAACTGGCTTGGACCTTGGTGATCTTTGAAAACCTTTGAGTGAAATGGAAGCAACTTACTATTAAGTTTCCTTCCTTCAGTGTCTGTGTACGCACATTAAACTCTCACAAAGTAATTACTGAATTAAAGAATCACAGATTAGGGCCAAAAAGAACAATTTACACATAACACTAGTGACAATTTAAAGACTTCAGAGCTTATTTTGGATGAAATTATCAGCTCTGCTTGCAATGAAATACAACTGTAGGGTCAAAAAAGTCTGATGATTACAGGTTAAGCTATTGCATATTAATTAGTAATTTTTCATTATTTAAAGAGCTCTTTAATTAAACAGCTAAATGATTGTAGCTAAAGGCAGAACTGTGTGGGTTGTTCCACCAGTATCTGTTGGCAAGTGTTCTCTGCTGTTACACTGCTGAGTGAACCTTTTGCAGTGGGAGCTGGGAGCATCCTGCCACTGTCAGCCAGGCTGGACATGCCCCAGGTCAGCCATCTGTTCCCATTCCCACTGATGAGCTGCTCCTGAGCAGAGCACGCATCTCACTCAAATGTCACTGCACTTAAGCACATTATTCAAACTGTAATTGTTCAGCATGGAAATAAACACTTCACAGGCCAGGAATACTTTGTAGGAAGACCATTTTTTTCATAGGAATTCACATGACTGAGTATTCAGCTTTCATTAAAAATACTGTTAGCCATTAGGCACTTGACTCCCTGGAAAGCTCCATTCTGGAGGAATAATGATTTTTGATCCAAATTCTAGAAATGAGTTGTCATTTACCTTCTGCTTCCCTGTTTACCTTGAGCAAGTTACCAAAAAGTTAAAGAGTTTGCTACTGGATTTATACAGTACAGTAGATTTTGTGAATAATAGCAGTATTCTCTCATGAAGAAGTGGTATATTTTAATGGAATTCTTTTTTGGAACCAAGTACAACGTATTGCAATTGATATTTCTCTTGAAACATTTTGACGTACTTGTGACTGTATTTCTTTTTGATTGTGTAACAGTATAAAATTCAATAAAAGAGAGG